CGTCGCACATTTCTGTCCGCTGTAGGTCCCGGAGAACAAATCCTTATACGCTGAAGAAGGCGCAGCTATGTTTCAAGCCCGCAGGCGAATGTCGGTCAACGCGAAGCCGCAGATTGGCCTACACTGTTGGACATGAAGGGCAAACTGAGTTCGGGAAGGGGCAAAAAAGTGGAAAATAACAAAAGTATCCCCCAAAACATACGGTAACAAGCAGGGGCGGGTCCAGAGAGAGGGACCAAGGGGCATGCCCCCCCCCCCCTGGGCCACGAAAAGGCCCATTGGCTCCGGGGGGCCGACAGCAGGCCGAACAGGTGCAGTTTTTTTTTAAACACAACGCAACAAAACTGGGTATCTCTGGACTTTCGGGCGACCAAGAACAGTTGTAAGCGAAAGTGACGGGCATATGAGAAGTCAAAAAATAACTCAATGATTGGAAAAGTTGTGAACTGGAAATTTTAAGCCCCCTTACATCGTCTAGGGCCCCATGCTGTTTCCGGGGACCTATATGTCAATTGCAGGTTTATTTCGGTCGTTTGGGATATTCCACGTTGTCCTTCATTTCTTTGCATTTGCTCCGAGTGCCCTGCGCTGTTGTTGGGGCCATTCCAGTTAGCGTGCCGGGAACTCTTGTCAATCACGGGCCCTTCCACGGATTATTTCCATTCGCCAGAAAGGCTCTGTGAGCGGTAGCCAGAGTCCCATACCTTGACCTGCCGGGGTATTCTCGGCTCCCCAGGGGCCCTTTACGTTGGTATCGGTTAACCTACCGACACACTCGCGATATGCCCATGGGTACTCTACATTGGTCTAGGGCGTTTCTAGTTCTTTGTCGCTTGCTTAGGGGCCCCACACTCTTTATCGGGGGCCCATCTAATGGCCTGCTTGGGCACGCTCAGTCGTTTGGGGAACGTCTACACCAGGTGTTTGGTACTTCTTTTCTGAATGGAGGGCCTGCGCTTCTGTGGGTGGGGGGGGGGGGGAGGGCTATCTGATAATCTCCGGGGGCCCTCTATAACGGGCCTTAGGCACATGCTATTTGAATGGGGCCCTACGCAATTGTCGGGGGCCCCCTCTGTTCGCCTCCTCACCCACACCAGATTGCTGGTGGGCTCTGTACATCGGTTCTCAGTGTTTGAATTTAGGGTCCTCTGCCCGTATCGGGGTCATCTGATAACCTGTTCAGATACACTCCATCGTTTGGGGCCCTCCGCATGGGGTTTTAGGTATTTCTTATTTGAATGGAGGGCCTAAAGCTCCTGTCGGGGCCCCAATCTGATAAGATGCTCGGGCCCATTCGATCGTGGGGGACCTCCACGTCCGGTTCTGGGTACTTCCTTTTCTAATTGAGGGCCCTCCGCTCTTTTTGGGGGCCCTATCTGTTAACCTGCTCTGGCGCACCTCGGCTTTTCGGGGCCTTCTACATCGTGCCGTGGCTAATTCACATTTGAGCGGAAAGCCGTACGCTCTTGACGGAGCCCCACCTGTTAACCCGCTCGGGCACACTCGAATATCCGGGGACCCTCCACATTGTGTCTTGGGTACTTCCTATCTGAATGGAGGAACCTACGCACTTCTCGGGACCCCATCTGTTCGCCGGTTTGGCCACATTGGATTGTTCGAGGGCCCTAAATATTGGGTCTTGGTGACTGAATTTAGGGCCCTACACTCCTGTCCGGGTCATGTGATGATCTGCTCGGGTATACTCCAATTTTTGGAGGGTCATCCGCACTGGGTTTTGAGTACTTCTTATTTCAATGAAGGGCCCTGCGCTCTTGTCGGGCTCCTCCTGATACGCTACTCGAGCACATTACATCATTCTGGGGTCATTTATATAAGGTCTTCGGTGTTTCCCATACGAATTGAGGGTCCTACGCTCCTGTTGGGAGCCCTGTTTGTTAACCTGCTCGAGTCCACTCGATCATTCGGGGGCCCTCTACATTGGGTCTTGGGGGTTTTCTTTTTGAATGGAGGGCGTTACGCATTTGACCGGGTCCTATTATGTTTGCTTACTTTGATAGACTGCATCATTCAAGGATCCTTTGCATTGGGTCTTGAACACTTCCTATTTGAATGGAGGGCCCCAAGCTCTTGACGGAAGTCCTATATGTTAACCTGCTCTGGCGCATTCGATCGTTCAGAGCCCTACACATTGCGTCGTATGTCTTATTTGAATGGATGGCCCTATGTTCTTAGCGGACCCTATTTATTCGGCTGCTCGGGGCGGTGGCGGATGCACATGGTGGGGGGGGGGGGGGGGGGGGGGGAGGGAGGCGGGAGGAGAGAGACACAGGACCATGTCCCATGGACCACGCCGAGGGAACCTAAAGGCTGCGAAGGGGCCCATAACCGGCTGGACGGACGCAGTTTCCTTACAACAAACGCACAACAAAATTGGATGCATTTGGGCCTACAGATGACCAAGAACCATTGCTAGCAAAAGCAAAAGTTCATAGGTAAACGAAGTTCATTCTTCGCTGATTGAGAGTGTTGCTTGGGGGAAATTTTGGGGCTCATTACGCTGCCTGGAGGCATTACGCTGTTGGCTGCCTGTCTCTATATGTCCACTTGCCGCGTCAATCTGATCGCTAAGGAGCTTTCCACGTTACCCTTGACCTCTTCCCACTTTTTCGTAGGGCCCAATGTGCTGTTGGGATGCTTCTTGCCTCCATGCTTGAGCACTGTTGATCAATCGGGTTTTCCTCCACGGATTCTACCCATTTACCCGAAAGGCTGCATACAATCTTTCTGGGGCCGCATATGTCAGAGTACATTCAGTTGCTCAGGGGTCCTTCATATAAATCTCAGGTCCTTTCTGATTGCTTGAAGGGCCGTGTGCCGTTGCTAGGGCCCTTATAAGGCAAGGCGAGGAGATGCTCGATGCTCAGGGGCCCTCTACTTTGTTCGAGGGCTCTTTTCCTGTGGTCTCATTTGGGGCTGATTTTTCACTCCTATCGAGACTCGTGTTGTTAACCTGGCCGTGCACCCTTGATTGCACAGGGGTATTAATTTATAGTCCTGAGTAATTTCCCTTTCCTCGGAGGGTCCTGTGTTATGACCGGGGCTTCATAAGTCAGCGTTTCGAGACATTACTGATCGTTTAGGTGCCCACCACGTTGGTCTTGAGTTCAGTTTTGCTTGCTCTGAGGACCCTATACTTGTTGGCAGGAGCCACTGTGTTGATCTCCTGCGGCAGCCATGACTGCTCAGGTTCCCTCCCTATTGGCCTTGTTGCCTTCGCCTTTCAGCAGCAGTCGAAAACGCGCCGATGGATTTTTACGCGCAGTTGCCGAACGTAATTCTACATGCCTCTACCGTCGTATGCGTCATTTCCACTGGCTTTGCAGTGCGTCAGACTCGGTTATATTTGCGGTGAACCTTCACGGGATCCTCAGTATCTCTGTGGGGTGTGGACTCCCTCCCCCTAACATTGGAAACCACGGTGCTATCCGATATGAAAAACCCTATTTAGGATTCATTCCGCTTAGAAGTAAAGCGGGTTGGCATCATCACGCCGCGCCGATAGACCATGAAGCCACCCCCTTAACGGCGTCCGTCGTCGAGATTTGAACCCGGGCTTACCGCGTGAAAGACCAGCACTACAACCATCCATCCACTGGAGATACGGGCCCCGCTACCGAAAATTCGTGATATGACTAGAAGTGGTTCAGAGTGAGTTGATTGATTTTGCGATTGTTGCATATACGCTCAGTGCAGAACGATGGCAGTTTATTAGCTGGGTAGGCTTTCAGGCACAGCGCGATACACGTGGCTTGGCGCGTCGCAATCCACTTGTGAGTTGGTTATATTTCCAAACGGCGCAGCAGAACATGTTGAAACACTGCCGTAATTCGCTGCGCTGCAATGCCACACTGATCATTTGATGTTTGCCACGCATAGAACCGAGTTCTTGCTCGGGACTCTGCATTTTTACAGTTCCTTGCCTCCAAGACTGCCAATGCCGGAATACTTGAGACGTAAACCATCTGAAAGATTTTTTGAGGGTGTATAAGCCCGGCGCGTAACCGCCCTCCGTTTTGGAGGGTGTATAAGCCCGGTGCGTAACCACCCTACGTTTTGGAGGGTGTATACGCACAGCCTTTTCACATTACCTTATTTTTCACCTCAATCCAGGTAGGTATTGCAGTGCGACGGCATATGGGCAATCATTAACAATTCATGTACTTAAATAAATATTTCATATGATGTCGATTTATTCACAAATAAACATTCAGCTAACAAAAAGGCATAACATATAAATGTTCAGGCGCGTTGACAGCGACGAATGTGGCTCGGGTCCTGGATGTAGAAAACGTGGTTTAGTAGGATCTACTTTTTAGGCAGTTTCTGGCATTGATTTGTCTTTAGAGCGTTTTAGGTACAAGATGTACAATATCTATCCATATAATATCAAAATAAAGATAAAGAACAGGGTTACTACGCAGCTTGTTGGCAAAATCTTCGTTTTTAATCATGTTATTAGTATCTACTAACCGTTTCGAAGTATCAACCAAAAACCATATTACGGGCTACCAAAATTTAGTTCCATGGTTGTGCAGCCTTTTGCTCTAGTACCGTTGGGCACATGTAATTAAACGATGAGTGATATCACGATGATGGCTCCTCCTCACACATTAAGGGTGTTTAGTTTAAGCAATATAAGTATATGCTAAACAAGTCATTTTAGTTATGACCTTATCCTTATGAAATGAAATAGACCCAAAAATGCATATGCATTCCTACCTTCATGCATATGCATTCCATTCCTGCCTTCCTTAGCACACACACACACACACACACACACACACACACACACACACAACACAACACACACAACACACACCACACACACACACACACACACCACACACACACACACACACACACACACACACACACACACACACACACACACACACACACACACAACACACACACACACACACACACACACACACACACACACACACACACACACACACACACACACACACACACACACACACACACACACACACACACACACACACACACACACACACACACGCACGCACACGCACACAAAAAGCGAACATTGGACTCAAAACACAAGCGTTGTGCAGAATAGCATTCCGAAAAATATCACACAGCTTTTCGGAGGTGGTATTTTGAGCAACTCTTTTGAAGAGATCTTGCATTACCAGACGCTGACATACGGGACAGGCATCAATCGGTTCCAGGTGGAAGTTGGGGTTGTTCGGTGTAGGGTTGATATATCTTATTCGGATTGATTCTGCGATTCTTGAATAAGCAACATCGTTACAGACATGCAGGTCTGATATCTGAGCGGTTTTGTTCCTAGGACTTCACCATTTTGTGTCTAACATTTTACCGCGGTGTACGTATTCGCTGTGCCTGCCAAATGGGGGTGTTTTCAGTCTTCCTTTGCATCTCGGACGTCCTCATTAAAGCACCCCCAAACGCTTCACCCTGCCCCGCGCTGCTGGTATTTGAGGAGCTTTTACGGTTTCCCGAAGCGGCCCCTGTCCTCGAGACGTGATTTTCCAGAGTGTGGAGAAGCATTTCTCTTATCTGCCACCGTTTCAGCATCGGTAGGGATGTGATCGGTTAGAACCTTTGCAAACTGTGACAACTCTGTGATGGTGGTACTAGAGAGGAATTTTTGAGCGCAATGAGAATGCTCGTAAGGTGTCGCGTGCACGTCGCGACGCGCACAGCTAGGATATTAGTAACACATGGGATATTAGACACCGGATATTGATATGACACCCGACTTCTAACCAGCTCCTTGCGTTGTATCAAACAGGTGGCATAAAAAACACTGCATTAATATCACCGTCACTGAAATTAAAAAGGGCCTGCCCGGTTAAGAATGCTTTCAATGTCGGAGAGAGGGCAGATATACCAAGTTTACATACATACGGCGATGGACCGTTCGACATCACAGACCCGCTACCGGTAATCAGCTCCGTACAGACCTAGGAAGCTTGATCAGTCTTGCTTACTGAGCTCCTGAACAAACCGAAGGTCAGTTTCTCGCAACTTCTGCGCCATCCACTTATCAAACTTGGCGTTCATCTCGGGGGTGAAGTGATTCTTCCAGTCGCCCGTCTTCCCCTTGCGGATGAAGCTGCCCCTGTCGGCGTGCATGAAGCCACTCTCCTTGAGCCGCTCGTTGTTAACGTACGGGTTCTTCTTAAAGTTATCGATGTGCAGGTGCGCAGCCAAACGCTCCACCTGCTCATCCGAGTACGTCTTGCCGAAGAATTTGGCCACCTTGCGGATCTGGGACGGCAGGTCGCGCTTCATATCCTCGTAGAAGAGGAAGCACATGTTGGGGTGGTGGCGCAGGTTCCAGGCCTCGATCATGTGATCGATGAATGGGGACTCGGCCACCTGGTCTTTCATGAAGTAGTCCACGAACAGCTGAAAATGGAAGCGTTTTGTGGTCGCACCAATTTGGTTTGTAGGAACAAAATTAAAACTTGACCTTTGACACCAAGAACACCTCAAATGCGGACGTCAGCGTGGACGTGGAAGTAGTTGTTGGACAAGTCTTCCGGCAGGACTCTGTGAAATATATGTAGTACCTTAAAATACCATTACATAATAAGTCGTCATAATTATGGCTTATAATCGTGCGCGTACCGTGCGTGATCAGTAAGCTAAGTTTGTGGCACGTGAATGTTACCCCGCGATATCACCACATCACAAAACGTTGCATATTCCCAACACAACAAATGTTTTCTTGGTAATGTCTTGAGGTCAGTACTTTCTGGCACACTGAATGTCAAGAACCGTCAATGTAAGAACTCTACAGTCGAAATAACGAAAAACAGGATCTGACGCCTGTTGTGAGCACGCTCAGGAGGTCCGGCGGCACAGCATGCCGTCCCTACCGTGTCGCGGCGCGGCCTCGGCCGCACAATGGAATGCGACCTACCGCGGCGGACGCCGACCGCCGTCCCGTGGCGGATCGTGCGGGACGCATGATGGGTGCGTTTGTGCTAGCCCACTGTAAGCTGACTTATGAGTGGTTGTTCACCCGAACTGAATGTAATGTCGTGCCGGCCCAGGATAGCAGCGGCAGTACGCCTCTGGATTCGGTCCAATGCAGATCGCCGCATCGCTACACGTCTCTGACCGAACTGAGCTGAACCGCTGGACGAGGGCATCACAACGCCCTTTCTTGCTTGTCTCAAAGGAAGGTGTGCACGGCTTACGCCACGGTACACCTTGTGACTCTAACATGTCCTAGCACAGCTCACCTCCAGATCTCCAGTGAAGTCCATCATCTTGGAGAGCCGCTGGTGGTGGAAGAACGAAACGCAGACATCCTTGGGGTTTCTAGCCACATAGACTACCTTGCAGACGTCCAGCAGACCCGGGTTGTTCATGGACATCGGCAGGTGCGAACTGACGAATCGCGGAGAGGGGCGGCGACGGTCACCTGTGCGCGAGAAGCTCGCATTTTTACCCGGGTTTCCTGCCTCGGCTGGAACA